GGAACGAAGACGGTAAAAAAAAAAAAAAAAAAAAAACGTTTATAAAAGTCACAGGCAATTAAAAATTTCAAAAAATCTTTCAGTGAAGGATTTATTGAAATATGCCCGGGGGAAAAATACGAAGTAACAATGAAAAGAAGCGATAAATAGAGTATAAAGAAAGAATGAATTAAGAAAACTTTTAAGAAACCTAAAAGTATGAATAACAATTAAAATATAAAGGATGCGAGAGGGAAAATATTGGAGAGTGAACAAAGAAGAGTAAAGACATTAGCAGGGAAAATGAAATAAAAAAAAATAATAAAAAAAAAGACAACGACAGGAAGGAAACGAATATATTGCGAGAACCAAGCAGATGGTTTCAAAATAGGAGCAAGAGAGTGTCTTTAATCTCTGCGATTATTTCTACATACAATTGTCTATTCAGTCCAAGAGCACAAAACCGGAAGCAGATGACCGGGACACGAGAAAGGTCGGTGGTGGTGGTGGTGGGGGAGTTGATGCTGATCTGAAGGGGGAGACAAAGAAACCAAACGAAAAAGCAAGATGGGGGGTCAATAGCATCGTAAAAAAGAAATAAAATAAAATAAAATAAATAAATAAATAAATAAATAAAGAAAGAAAGAAAATATTTATATGCTGAGCCAAGTTCGATATATGCTACTGAGATAGATAGACTGATGGATTGATTTGTTTGCTTAACGGTATATCAAAAACTTATGGGTCATTTAATGCCGAAATCTAATTTAAATATTTTGAACGCAATTGTATGCCTTCAAATGCAGATAAAATTTATTGTTGGTATTTTTCATTTAAATATGGATGGCCGATATTTTTACTATAAAAATGTATTTTTATTATTTCATAGTGTTTGGATTTGTTTGGGGGGTTATTTGTCCATAGCTGGGACTCTGACAGGTGGTACCACCTCGGGTCAGGGTGAATCTGGAAACAACTGCAATTAAGAGGTGGTTCCATGCTCCTCAAAATCTCTCGATCTCCCGACCTTGCTACTGGATGTCGTTCATATGCATACACAGAACGTGAGATAGATAGATAGATAGATAGATAGATAGATAGATAGATAGATAGATAGAGAGAGAGAGAGAGAGAGAGAGAGAGAAAGAGAGAGAGAGCGAGAAAGGGAAAGAAATGGATTAAAGCTGCATAGAATCATTTAGAAGAAAGAAAGAAAGAAAGAAAAAAAGAAAGAAAGAAAGAAAGAAAGAAAGAAAAAACAGGAAAAATGGAAGAAAGAAAGAAATTTTACATAACGAGCTAAGGTTATTTCTAAGCGTAGCTTAAATGTGACACAAGGCTAAAAGTATAGAGCACCGGGGGAGGGGTTACAAGCTCGCTACTTATTGGCAATTGTTCTGGCGAGACAAGCTTCCTAAGCATTACACTACGTCGAGCTAAGTCAGATGTTACGTTACAGAGAGATAGATATATAGATAGATATGAGCAGAATGAGATAGATAGATAGATAGATAGATAGATAGATAGATAGATAGATAGATAGATAGGATCAACTAGAAACAGATAGATAGAAATGATCATATAGATAGATAAGATCATATAGGTAGATATGAATAGATAGATATGGTCAAACATAGATAGATAGATAGATAGATAGATAGATAGATAGATAGATAGATAGATAGATATGAGTGGACTGGGATAACTAGCTTGATAGATAGATAGATAGATAGATAGATAGATAGATAGATAGATAGATAGATAGAATCAACTAGAAACAGATAGATAGAAATGATCATATAGATAGATATGATCATATAGGTAGATATGAATAGATAGATATGGTCAAACATAGATAGATAGATAGATAGATAGATAGATAGATAGATAGATAGATAGATATGAGTGGACTGGGATAACTAGCTTGATAGATAGATAGATAGATAGATAGATAGATAGATAGATAGATAGATAGATAAATGAACATATAGATAGAATTGAACAGATAGGTAGGATCATATAGGTAGATATGAAAAGATAGATAGATATGGTCAAACAGAGATAGATAGATAGATAGATAGATAGATAGATAGATAGATAGATAGATATGAACTGAATGAAATAGATTTCCATTTCAGGATTTCATAAGAAAGAAAGAAGACTGCAAGAAAAAAAGAAAATGTCGAATAGAAGAAAAGAAAGAAAGACAATTTCTATCTATTATAGTCTATCATATATTATGACACTTTCTAGTTTTTGTTGATCACATTGATGTCTATGGCCGAATTGAAATCGTTTGCACTATTCCCTATAAATGAGGATCTCTACCCTCTTGTGCATACATTAATATTTCTTTAAAATGAAACTGATGCTTTTATATATGTTATGCTTGGCATGATTTTCTCGATTGAAAACGGCATATTGCTATCTGCGTTGCGAATTCGTCCCAAAACATTTGTTTATCGTTGCAACGAAAAGGGATAGATTTTGTATCACTTTTGTTTTGCAGAAACACGTCCATTCAGGCGACGTCGGTTACACTTTGGCAGACCTTGGTTTCGTCTTCTACATGAAGTATTCTCGATTGAATGAGTTCATCTATCGGAATGTCTAAGCCTCAGATATTATTTATCGAACATATATTCGTATGTGCATTTGTCTATAAGGGTGAACAGAAGTGATCTCTCTTCATTATCTATCTATCTATCTATCTATCTATCTATCTATCTATCTATCTACTCCTATTCAAAAAAACGAGGAGAAGTGTGAACCGGGCGATAGGCGAACCTATCAATTCCTATTGCGAGAAAAGAAAAGAAATAAACAGTGAATAAAATTTCAGAGACGTTAGCCGTATAGAATTGTAGTATAAGGGATCAGAAACCCAATCCTAAACCGGAAACAAGGGATAAACCTGTACGCCTGTTCAAAATTAGCAGATTAATTCATTCATTGTAAAAATTGAAGGAAATATATATATATATATGTGATGGACTCCCCCGTCGTCCTCGACGTATGAGGGTCAAGCAGCTCAATTTCTAGGAACCGACAGCCCAGACACCATCACATGTGATTTGATTATGGTGGCGAAGGCTTTGTGCAGAACTAACCACACTTTTTGAAGGGACCTGGTGCACTACGCGCCACAAGGTCCCCAAACAACCCTCCACAAGTTTTGAATTCAGAGTTGACCTTCTCCGAGACCAGTTGCAATCTAAGTCTATAGAACCCAGTCTGTCCTGTGCTTTACCCATGGAAGGAGGAAGAAGAAGAGGATTAATACACTTTTCCAATGGGTTGAGGAGACACGGTGGAGTAGTGGATAGCGGAACGCTTTGAGGAATCGGAGAGCCGAGTTCGAAATCTCAGTCGAATCCATTACCTCCACTTACGCGCTATATATGTATGTATGAATACATACAGAGGGCGAATACAAATGTGCGCAAATGTTTTTTTTTTAATTGACCAATCAGGTAATGACACGTTATTTATTTGTAACACATTAAATGTATATATGCTGGGGCTTGTTTCGATAAATCATTCTCTGGCAAATATGCCTTAGCTTAGTTTCAACTGCCGACTGGGGCTTGTGAACCTATATTATGCGAATCATGAGAGCGTTGGAGCAATGCTGAGAGCTTACTAAACAAGTAACAATTTAAATCTTATGGATGTGCATTCAAAACCACGAGTCTACCATACGTTTCGATGCGATGGAAGCATATATATATATATATATATATATATATATATATATATATATCAGTTACGGTGGACTGGTCATGTCTTGAGAATGCCTGAGGACAGGATACCCAAGATCCTAATGTACAGCCAGTTAGATCAGGGCTAGAGTGATGTAGGACGCCCATGGCTAAGATACAAAGACAAGCTGAAAAGCAACTTGTCATCAGTCAATATAACAACCTTGAGCGCTTAGCTTTGGAGATCAACTAGTTTTAGTGGATTCAGCAATTTTCAATCTGCTTGTCTGAATCATTTTCAAGAAGCGAGCGCAAGATCTAAAAGGTCAGCCAATCTAACAGTGATCTCATCTCACAATCCTCACACTTGCTCCATATGTGACCTCCTTTGTAAATCACTAGCGGGTCTTAAATGCCACTTAAGATTATCGCGCAAACTTTCAGAACTGAATCAATAAGCTGTCAGATCCTCATACGTCGAAACCGACGGGAGAGTCCATTATATTTATATATATATATATATATATATATATATATATATATATATATATTGCACTTTTCCAGTTTAACGACACAGTTTATTGCCCGGATGTTTACATCATCCAAACCCTTTTTCTACTTATTTATATTTTATATTTTTTTAGGCTGAATGTGTCGCCTATGTTATTTTTTTCTGACTACTCTTTTTTTTTCTCATGGTCCTCCTAACTTGTTTAGGCGATCGTAATTCAACTCTAAATCGTTCTAATCATTTCCCGTGTGCAAATGTTCCTCTATCAGAGAAAGCGGCAGCGACGTCCATTCATCACAAGTCTGTCAGACCTAACTATTCATCAATGCTAAGCTGGGAAATAAATCAAATTATACCCAACTCGGCCGCTAATGTTCAACCGTCCATTGCTTTCAGTATATCTTGCGTTTTTGGGCCAATGATGTAAGCAATGTATTGTTTTCTTCCTTCTTGCATAAATAATGTCATTTTCTAGATGTCACTTGTGATGACCAATTTAAGGAAATAGTATTATTTTTTTTAAATATCCCAGAATTTACCTTTTAATTTCCTGCTTTTAATTTCTTCAGCTTCGCTTGTTATTCTTGCTTGCATTTTATTTCTCTTTTTTTTATTCCTTTAATAATACTCGACCTGAAAACGGTTGATAACCCGTAAAAAAACAAATCAATCGTTGAACACTCACTGTTACGCATATTTTACCAAACCATATATATATATATATATATATATATATATATATATATATATATATATATATATATATATATATATATATAAAAAAAAGAATACCCGCTCGGCCCGGTGGCTAGGATCAAAGTGTAGTATCTGCGCTTTGTGAGCTGCCAGGTCGGGTGTCTGTCGAACTCTCTGCTTGCAGAGGGGAACCCGGACGAAGCTCCGCCGAAGGGTGGGGTTTCGTTCAGGAGGTTGACAGAACTAGCCCGCTTGGACGGGTTTAGATGGGTTTTATTTTGGCTGGGCCTACGGGCTCAGACATACCCACATTAAAAAAGGCCTTGTGCCACATTCAATTCCTGTGGGTGAATTGATAAATACCATATATATATATATATATATATATATATATATATATATATATATATATATATAAAAAACTATGAACTAAAGAGCCAGGCAAATCTACGTTGGTTTTACCTACGCGGATGGTCAGGGTACGCTGACGATCCCCGTAGGTGAATACTAGGTAGGTTTGTCTGGCTCTTTAGGTTCATAGATAACTTTTGCTCTACTTAGCGTATTGAGCACTTTGCTTAGTTATTTTCTTTTAATCGTGACGTAGTTTTTTTTTTCATTGGACTCTGAGCTTGGATCCTGGTCGATTATTTTCGCCAAAATTACATGTTCCTAGATCTTTCTTTTTTTATTCCTTTTTTTCCCTTAGGTATTGGTTTGTTTATTTACAAGCCAATACACCTAAAACTTTTCCGGACAGTATAATTACACTTATTTATAAGATCATATATATATATATATATATATATATATATATATATATATATATATATATATATAATTATTTATATATATAATTATTTAAAATTATTTTTTGTAGTGATTTTATAACATATTTATGTCATAAAATCACTACAAAAATAGCCATTTTGTTTCACCACCCTCGGTGTCTTATCAAGTGATGATGTTGAAAAAAAAATTTTTTTTTCTTTTTTTTTACATTCAACATCATCACTTGATAAGACACCAGGGTGTTGAAACAAAATGGCTATTTTTGTAGTGATTATATAACATATTTATGTTATAATTTCTTTTTTAATAATTATATCTGCTCTACTTTGTATTGAGCACTTTTTTAAGAATAGTAATTTTTGGTTATTGGGATTCATTCCGTATACACCAATTATATACTTGTATTCATATATATATATATATATATATATATATATATATATATATATATATATATATATATATATATATATATATATATATATATATATATGAAAAAAGACAAGATGAAAAATTATTCTATAAATCAATCACATCCTTGCTTTTGTATATAAACACGTGCAATAAAATAAATACTACATTTGTTCTTATATAGACCTTTAGAGGACGAAACGCGTCGGCTACTAATAGTTTTTTTCTTGTCTTTATATACATTCTGTCCCTATACAGATACAGCGTGCGATGGCAAGTCTTCGCCATATTATATTTTTAATTTCGCGCATGCGCGTTGTTTGCTTTTAATTTTGGCGACTGCATAGTATGGTAGGGTAGAAAAAGGGTATCATGACGCAAATCACTCCCCCAGAAATTTGGAAACGGCATGCTGTACTGCATGGCATTTGCGTCGGAAGCTCCAATGCGAACATTGCGGAGTGTTTGGGTGTCAATCTGAGGTCAATATAGAGGATTCAGAAAGAGTTGGATGAGTCTCATGGTGATTACGAAAGTAAGGCTGCTCGGTAAACTCAGGCTGATTGTCCTGATAAGAAAAGAACTGAATTTGTTGGTAAGGGCTTCAGACTCAACTCGGAGCCCTACATCATGGCCTGAAGAGGTACTACTGCCCTGGGTTAATAAAGTGGCTGCTGGAAGACCCTATGTCTAGCAACAGGACTATGCACCATGGCACAGAATCAGGAGATCACATCACCCCTTACATCTGGCTGTGTAACTCTCCAAGATTACAACGCCCTTGATTATTATTTGTGGTGTTACAGTTGAGCGAAAGACCAACAAAACTCCCTGTAACACCAAAGATGAATTGAAGAGAAGGATTATGGGAGTATTCACCATCTTAAAAAAAAAAAAAAAAACTCCCAGAAGAGATGTAGAACATTCCGATGTCGTATGGGGGCCGTGGTTGAAGTGAATCGCGGTTTTATTGAAGAAATTTACACTTTACTATTTCGAAATATTTTTCTCTAATTTTGGTAAATGTACCTGTTAAAAGAGATGAACGGTGGAGTAATGGATAGCGGCTTGGATTGAGGAATCGGAGAGCCGAGTTCGAATTCCAGTCGAATCCATTACATTCACATACGTGCTAATAACCATGGATCCTCTTATACTCGACCCAGCTAGGGGTAAATAGCATGACAGACCGGGTTCTACAGCCTTGGATGGCAACTGGTCTAACAGAGAAAGAAATGGCAACCTACTGCGGGAAAACAAATCTGCCTCATAAGTCATGTATCGAAAGATAAATGATCGCCTAAGCGTGTATCACGCATAACACATAACTGACTGCTCTTTTAAAATGAGATGTCAGTGATATTTTTTGTGTAATTTAGACGACAACCTATCTATTGAACCCTGTAAAGT